GTATTGGCTTTTGATAAGTTGAATTAATAAGATGAAAGCTTGTTTTATTCAAAAAAAAAAAAAGTAGTAGTAATTTATTTATTATGACAACCCCTCGCACAGTAACATCATGCAAATTAGACCAAATTAAGTTGACTAAAATTTAATTTAAGCTAATCTTCTTACATAATTCATAAATAATTCTTAATAAAAAAATTAAGCTGCTTATGAATTACTCAAAACTCAGTTCAAAAAACTTCTTGAATAAATTTTATTAGCCGAGTTTGAGTTTTGAAATGAAACTTATAAACTTTAACGTTAAGAATAAGTTTGAGTTCGAATTCGAGTTTAAACATAGAAATAAATAATAATTTTATTTTTTAATTACAAAATAATCTCTTTGTCCATAAATAATTGCCATAATTGTGAAAGTACATTTCTCCGTAAATAAGTGTCACGTTTATGAATTTTAAAAAATAGTAAAATTTCTTTCTATTTTTATCTTTTACAAAATTAATTATTATAATTGTGAAATCTCTCTTTATTATGAATAAAAATAATATAATCAATTTATACTCGATAAATTAAATTACTTTTTTAAGAGATAAAAAGTGTGCAATTGTGAGAATTATTTGTGGATGGATGAAGTACAACTAAACTGAATATGAGTTCATTTACAATTTAATTGAGCCAAATTCAATTATTTTTAAATAAATTAATATTCACTAAAATTTGAATCTGAGTATACCTTAATAAATCAATTTCGAGCTCAACAGAATTCTCACCTAACTTGATTTGATTTGATGGGACATATATCACCTAACTTAATAAATTACCTAGCTTGAAGAGCAGGATTTCTTGACACGCTATACACTGTCTTCTACTGTGATCAACAGCATTTGCTTTCTCATTTCCTCCACGTGTTCCCTCTCTCTTTCTCTCAATTCTTCCTTTTTTTTTTTTTTTTAAATTTCTATTAATAGTTACTTGCTATATATACATATATAGAACCAAACTAAATCAAACCATCACATATATACTTAATATCAAAAAGCTTCTCTCTCTGTCTCTGTCTATTACTGCAGAATGGAGCAGCAAAAGAAGGAAGAAGAGGTGATCGAGTTGGGGACCTTTCTTGATAATTATGAGAAACACAGTACCTTTTATGTAAATTCACTCTCTTTTCCTGAAATGGAATCTCTTTCTGCTCTCTGTGATACTTTCTTGCCGTCAAACGATGTCGTTTCTTCTTCTGCTGCTGCTGATGACTCCATCGCCAAGTTTTTTCTATCTTCTGCTTCCATGGCCGGAACTCCTCAACGCGTAGGATTTTCCTTACTTAATTATATTTATATTTCTTTTTTCACTTTTCTTCCTTTGTTTATGCTTGCTTTTATTTCACAAACCTGCATACAAAATAATATTGGTCATCGATCACAAGGTTTACTCAAGAGTCCATGCATGTCAAGAAATTATTTAACAGTAACCTAAGTAACACGGAAAACACATTTTATAATTTCGAAGGTGTTCTTAAAGTATACGAAATTACATTGAACCGACATGAGCCTGGGTTGACAAGAATACGATATTGAGTGGTGTAGCAGCTCACTGTCTGAGAGGAGTACGATGTTCAGGGTGGGGTGGAGCTCAACGGAGGTTCAAGGATTCTGACCACTCCAAGAAATTTAATAATATAGAAGAAAAATTATATTTAACCTTTTAAAAATTCAAAAAATTTCATTTAATTCTCTCAAAATAAAAATTAGTAATTTGATTTGGTCTGAAAGATTATATTCTCTCAAAATAAAAATTCAGTAATGATTTGAAAAATTATATTTAACCTTTTAAAAATTCAAAAAATTTCATTTAATTCTCTCAAAATAAAAATTAGTAATTTGATTTGGTCTGAAAGATTATATATATATTTTTTTAAATTATATAAATTATTTATTATGTTAAATAATTTATTTTTTAGTGTCAAAATATTATGTGATGTTACACGTATTAATAAATGAACAGGTTTTTCTATTTATAACAGATTTATTAATCTATTTTTTATTATTTTATTTTTATAGTAATTTGTACTTTTCATATTACTTTCAAACTGTCAATCACATTTATATATTCTTTATATATATATTTTTAATTTTGCTTTATATTTTTTATAAACTTATAAATCAACCAAATCACTCACTAATAGAAGTCAACTATGTTAGTATTTAACGAGATTGAGATGTATAAAATATTTTTCAACATATTAATTAACAGATGAGACATTCTAATTTTATATGAGTCCATCATATATTCTAAATTAATAAAAATATTTTTTTCAATTAAACCATGATATTTTTAAACACTGAGAGAAAAAAAATAAAATAATAATAATTTTTTAAAAGAGTTTTTTTTATTAACTTGATACATAGATGATAGATGGTGTCATTCACACCGGTTCTGAACAAGCTGTCGTAGAATCAATGTATTCGTCCGGAACATTAAAATTGATTTTTGCATGCATGGTGTGGGATCTATTCCTCTACATTTTGCTTACTCTAACTGGCCACGTCACTCCAACTCTGACAAGTTAAACTTTAAATAGATTTTTCTTTGTTTTGAATTTATTTCATAAAGCGTGGGGCCATAGGTAATAACTAGTTGGGTGTAGGGGTCGCGATTTTCCGGTTTTTGGAATCGTAACCGGAATCGTGAGGAATTGAAATCTGTCCGAATGATATCAGAATTCGAGGTCTGCGGTTTGATAACGGTTTCAACTTTTGAGGAACTGTTAATCAGTGATTTCAAGAACTGGAGGTTCCACCCAGTTTTAATAATTTATTTTTTATTTTTTTCAAATATTTTTATGAAATCTCTAAATTAACCTTCCTAACAACTATATAGCGGTTAATTTAAGGGTGTCTGTGAAAAATTAATTTTTTGAATTTACTATAAATACCTCTTTCATTTTAAAAAAAATAATTTAAGTTCAAGCATTTTTCTAAAAAAAATAAATTAAATTCAAACCCTTTTCTAAAAAAAAAAAAGTTCAAGCCTTTTTTAAAAAAATAAATTAAGCGTTTTATTTAATTTTTTCTTTAAGTTTTTTTAAAAAATTGTTTCATAAATATTTAAATTTTAAATTTTCAACAAAAAAATGTTCCCTAAATTTTGATTTTATAATGCCAGAAAATCAATCACATAACCGCCCAGAATTGTTGATTTGGAACAGTTAAGGAACCGAAATATGAATCGTAACTGGAACTGTCAATTTTTAGTTTGATTTTAGTTCTAGAATCAAAACCGGCGGTTCTAAAACCGTGGCTACCCCTAATTGGATGTCTCTTAATTTTTTATTTTTGACGCATGTGCACTGTTGCATCAGATATGGTATTTGGAGAACATGTTTCATGTCCCTTCATACATATTCATATTTTCTACTGTTGATACCTAATTTGTGAAAAACGACAAGTATACAATATTTATATATCAATCGGCGAATATTTTTGCTGATTTTTTTTTTTAATCACCATTATTAGGGATCACTTCATTCAGTTTAGGACTAAGTCATAGTTAAAGCTCATCATTCCTGCATGCATGTGCGTTTAGTAGGAATTAAAACTCTTTTCATATAGTCAGTTTGTGTTGTCAACTGAGCTGCAATCGTTTGTTTTACTGATTGTTTTTATTAAATAGTTATGTTTTATTAACTTATACATGGACGTTGTCATTCACACCGGATCTAAGCAAGCTGTTGTACAATCAATGTATTCGTCCGGAACATTAAAATTGCTTTTTGCATGCATAGTATTGGATCTATTCCTCTACATTTTGCGTACTCTAACTGGCCACGTCACTCCAACTCTGACAAGTCAAATTTTAAAAAATAAGTTCAAGTTTTTTTTAATAAATAAATTAAGTCTTTTTTTTAATTTTTTTCTTTTAAGTTTATTTTTAAATTATTTCATAAATATTTAAATTTTATATTTTTTAAAGAAATATTCCTTAACTTTTGATTTTATAATGTCGGACAATCGGAACCGTTGAGTTGGAACCATTAAAAAATCGGATTTTGAACTGTAACCGTTGAATTGGAATCATTAATTTTTTATTAAATCGAAACCGACGGTTTTAAAATAATGGATGTCTCTTAATTTTTTATTTTTTATTTTATTTTTATTTTTGACGCATGTGCGCTGTTGCTTCAGATATGGTGTTTGGAGAACATGTTTCATGTCCCTTCATACATATTCATATTTTCTACTGTTGATGCCTAATCGGTGAAAAATGACAAGTATATAATATTTATATATCAATCCACAAATACTTTTGCTGGTTTTTTTTTTTTTTTTAAAACCACGATCGTCTAATTCAGTTTGAGACTTAATTACAATTAAGGCCCATCACGCAAGAGCATTTAGTGGAGTTGGAAATTCTTCCCACATGCACAGTCTGTATTGTCATGTGAGCCATGGTTTTGCTGATTGTTTTTATTAAATAGTTATGTTTTATTTAAAATTTATTGACGGTCAAAAAATTATTAACCCACTGATCTGTCATGGGTATCAGGTGAGTATATATTAGTTAAAATGGAAAAATCAAATTAGGTTTTCAATTCGATTTGATTCGGTTTATTATTTTAAATAATTTCAATTTGGTTATAGAAAATAAGGTAAACATGTCAAAAATGGATGGACATAACCTCTTCAGTTTAGTTCAAAACATAATTCTATATAGAAAATAATTAATTTTCAATTTTCAATTTTATCATTTTTCAGTCCAATTTAAAATTAAATTGACCGATTAAACACTCTAATATGTATTTTTAATTAATGAACTCGACCAACCCCATAACCTAATCGAAATAATTTTTGTAAAAAATGTTTTAAAATTTAGATTTGCGCAAGTGGTTCAATCAGTTAGCAAGTGCAGATCGGTTCACCCTTAGTACTCATTTTAATCTAAATTCATTGAGATTATTTGACCTGACCAGTTCATCTATTAACCAAAAAACCAAACAGATCAATCAAATTTGCTTTATTTGCCAATAAAAATTGTAATTATAATTTTTTAATTTCTATTTTTTTTATGAGTAGTTATGTTGGCAAGTAAATGTGAGTATTACACCCATGTTCTAATAAGCAGATAGGAGGACTGATAAGCCAGAGATTGAAGCACCCAAAGAAATGGTTGATACGAGTGGCCCTGTGGATGCTATCTACAAGGGTTGGAACCATAAGCAGATAGGAGGACTGATAAGCCAGAGATTGAAGCACCCAAAGAAATGGTTGATACGAGTGGTCCTGTGGATGCTATCTACAAGGGTTGGAACCTTCATTTTGTGTGGGCTACTTAGCATTTCAACCCATTTTCCCTTCTTTCTAAAGTTCTCTCAAATCCATCTCCACAAAAGGGAAAAGATATTGCATTCTTGGTCTCTCAGCTTTTTCTCTCTCCTCAGGATGTTATTCAAGACTGTTAAACTTCTCTGTTTGCTCGTCTTCTTCTCTCAGGTTCAATTTCTCTATGCCCTTCTTTATTTGTTTCCTTCTTTTTATAGTAAATTATTCAATAGCATATCCAAATCCAAATTTCAGGTAGATGAGAAAGGTGAGAACCTGGCATGGAAAGCAATGGACTATCCAGGACCTGATCCAGAGTTCAAAAAAGAACAGGAAGCTGCATTAAAACTAGCTAAAAATAATGAAGAAGAAAAAGAAAAGCTGTTTGGACCTCTTTATAAAGGACTCATAGACATGAACCTTCCACGAGATATAACTGCAAACTCTCTTCGACTGTCCGGATTCCCTGTCTTTACTTACCGGCCAAAAATAAATAATCCTTCGTTAGTTATCAAATGCGATGCAGTGGTGGTCGGTTCTGGTTCAGGTGGCTGGTCGGTTCTGGTTCAGGTGGCAGTGTGGTTGCTGGGGTTCTTGCAAAAGCTGGTTATAAAGTGGTTGTTATTGAGAAAGGAAACTATTTTGCAAGAAGTAACCTTTCACTCCTTGAAGGCCCTTCAATGGATCAAATGTACTTATCTGCTGGGTTAATGGCTACTGATGATATGGGAGTTGTAGTTCTTGCAGGCTCTACAGTTGGTGGAGGCTCTACAATTAACTGGTCAGCTTCTATTAGAACTCCTCAACATATGGGAGTTGTAGTTCTTGCAGGCTCTACAGTTGGTGGAGGCTCTACAATTAACTGGTCAGCTTCTATTAGAACTCCTCAACATGTTACTGATGAATGGAGTAATGCTTATGGCTTAGAGATTTTCGATAGTAAGTTATACAAAGAAGCATTAGATGTTGTTTGTGAGAAAATGGGAGTGCAATCTGAAATCAATGAAGAAGGTTTTAACAATGCTATTTTAAGAAAAGGGTGTGAAGAATTAGGTTATAATGTAAATACTATTCCTAGAAATTCTTCCTCCGATCATTATTGTGGTTGGTGTTGTCTTGGCTGCAAAGATGGAAAAAAGAAAGGAACTTGTGAAACCTGGCTATTGGATTTAGTTAATTCAGGTAATGGGTTAATTCTTCCTAATTGTGAGGCTATTAAGGTTTTACATAAGCGAAGAAGAAGAGGAAATCGAAGAGTAGCAAGTGGAGTTGCTTTTGCATTTGGAAAAGAAGTTTGTGTTGTTCAATCAAAGGTTACTATTGTCGCTTGTGGTGCTCTTAGCACTCCACCATTGTTGAAAAGAAGCGGCTTGAAGAATCCTAATATTGGCAAACATTTACACCTCCATCCTGTCACAATGGCGTGGGGATACTTCCCGGATGATCAACCATTGGCGTGGCCGGAAAAACACAAGAAAAGCTATCAAGGAGGGATAATGACAGCTATGAGTTTGGTCACTTCTGATAAATTATACGGTGCTGTTATACAAACACCATCATTGCATCCGGGTATGTTCGCGAGCCTAATGCCATGGGTTTCGGGTGTAGACATGAAAATGAAAATGGGTAGATTTTCGAGGACTGCTCATATATTTGCATTGGCGAGAGATAAAGGATCAGGAAAAGTTAATTCGCCAAACTCGATATCTTATCAAATGGAAGCTGCAGACGAAGAGAATTTACAGAAAGGATTAGAAAAAGGACTAAGAATACTAGCAGCAGCAGGAGCTGAAGAAATTGGGACACATCATAGCAAAGGGAGAAGCTTAAATGTTAAAAAAGAAAGTTATAAGGAGTTTGACAAGTTCGTGAAGAGGGAAAGTTCGCGGTCATTGAGAGATTTATCGACACAGATATGTTCAGCTCATCAGATGGGGAGTTGCAGAATGGGGATTGATCCAAGAAACTCAGTAGTGAATGAAATGGGGGAGACATGGGAAGTAGAAGGATTGTTTATAGCAGATACAAGTGTATTTCCAACAGCATTAGGTGTCAATCCTATGGTCACAGTTCAGGCTATTGCTTATTGCACTGCACAATCTGTTCTTCAACTGCTTAAGAGAAAGAAATTCTGTTAAATTGTAATTGTTTTTTTGCATCTTTTGCAGTTCAATATTTGTAGCAAAATAAAACTTGTGGATTTCAATGGTAATTACTCAATAATTTTACCATAGTAACTTAATTTGCTGCTATTATACTTTTCACCTTTTAACTCTTCCTTTTGCTGCATTGTCACGGTGGTAACTCATTAATTTCAAACAAACAAAAAAAAATTAATAAACATAACTTGATTTGATCTATGCATAATCCAAGTTGGATAGTTTAATACGAACTTTGGAGTAGTGGTGTAAATGAGCCGAGCTTGAACTTCCCAAGCTCAAAGCTCGGTTCGATAGAATTTAACTCGGTTCGAAATTCAACGAGTCTGAAACTTTAGGCTCAGGCTCGGCTCAAGTTACACTTAAGCTTGTTTCAAGTTTGAGTTCAATTTGAAAAATTTTAAGCTCGAGGCATGAGTGATCTAAAAGAATTTTATATATATGTATGTATAAAAGCTCGATAAGACTCGATGAGTTTTAAAGCTGAACATCATTAGGCTCAAGCTCGGCTTTAACTATACAACCCTAGCACCAAATTCACACTCAACCATTCTCAATCATCTTAAATTATCTTAATGACCATTATTGAGAAAGGAGGACAGTGATGGTAGTGATAATGGAGAAATAAGAGAGAGGATATGTAGAGATATGGACGGAGGAGAAGATTAGAGTATAGAAGGAAGGTTGATTTACAATGTCAGAGAATGTACTAATAAAGTTAAAGTGAAAAGAGAGAAGGCCGGTTTAAGTGTACAGAAAAAAAAAAAAAAAGAGAGGATATGTAGAGATATGGACGGAGGAGAAGATTAGAGTATAGAAGGAAGGTTGATTTACAATGTCAGAGAATGTACTAATAAAGTTAAAGTGAAAAGAGAGAAGGCCGGTTTAAGTGTACAGAAAAAAAAAAAAAAACCTTCTGTGTGCGCTACCATATAGCATTCTGGTGTCCCCAATGTAGAAAAAACGGACAAAGGTTACTTTTCTGTTACATAAATCAAAGTTAAGGAATTTTAGTGTTACAAATTAAATTCAAAGGACGACAATATGATAATGGCTATAGTTCATGGACAACATCTAAAAATAAGCCATAAATATTGCATTACTATAGTTCATGGACAACATCTAAAAATAAGCCATAAATATTGCATTACAGAACTTTGTCAGTTCATTAAGTCACCCTAATCTCAAATATTGAAAAAAGGAAAGAAAATGTCAAACCTTCAGGATTAATTGAATAAATCACTAAAAAAACTCAAATTTTGCGGGTAGTTTTAATTGTACCCTAAATTTACTTTCTTCTCCTAGTACAATGAACTTTAATTTTAATTATAATAGCACCCTAATTTCAAATTATATCCAATTTAATGAATAAAATATTATTTTCTTTAAACATTTACTCTTTCTCATAGTTAGGTTAACAAAAAACTTACCGTTTAATAACACCTTGAATATTGGTTAAAAATTTAAATTCATAAAAAACCAAGTAAAATAATAATTTTAGTTAGCTACAAGCATAGAAAATTAGTTCAAGTTCTTGTTTTGCCATTTTTTAAGCATGAAATTTTAGTTGAAGTTTATTGAAATTATTGACAGTGATTTTTGTAAGTGTACGAAATCGCAACAAGTAATATAGAGTGAGAAAAGTAATATAGAGTGGAGAAGAGTATCGTATCCATAGGGATGTCATATGCAAGACCAAAATTGTGTTAAGCCTATTAATTATTTAAATGGCAATAGAAAGAGATTTTTGTTACATAAGAAAGTAAATTCTGAAAAATATAAACAGAAAGGAATCAAGCAATTCAAAATTCCGATGAGCAAGTTAATAAGGATTTTAAACTACTAGGGATTTTTTGATTTCCACTTAATTCTAATCCAATTTATTTTATTAGTTTGTTAATCATTTTAATTGTTTTCAAGTCGGGGAAACATAACCATCTTAAAATCACTAACAGTTCTTCCAATGTATTGTTAGCTATTCTAATCCGATCTACATTTACCTAATCTTCCAATAGCGCAATCAACCATCGAATTAAATTATGTAAAGTTTATGGCTTTTGTTTTGTGAGATTCATAACCTAAGGTCATTAACTTATGAAAAACCCCCCATGATCAAACCATATAGCTTCCGCATCAAGGTTATTATTCTCATGTATTTTATTACCTTTTTCATATCAAAAATCCTTCTCCCTGATAGCTGATTTAATGAAAATAATATCCAGGGGAGAAACTCTGCCTGAAAGCATTAAGTTCAATAATAAATTATAAATCATGAACAGAGGAAAAACAATCTAATATTATAGAATTGGAATCAAATGTAAGCTACATCAAATCCCTAGTATGGGAGTTTTTAGTTCGACCATAGTAATTAAATAAAACGTTCAATAATACTTGAATAAAACTTTCATAATCAATAATGAAAACTACATGAAAGAAAAACAAGAATTAAGAGTTTAGAAATAAAAAACTAAGACAAAAGCTACGGTGGATGGCTTTTCTTGAATCTTGCAGCAAATCTTGGATGCTGAATCTTTTGAGAGAAGAGCGAACTATGTAAAAAAAATACTAGAAACTCCCAAAATGGAAAATAATACAATGAATTGGATCCCACTTGACTATGGCTAGTCTCTCTATTTTATAGTCTCTCTATTTATATAGACTTTCTAGAATATCTTCGTGTTCGTTTAGGAAAATGAATCTTTATTGAGTAAGAAATCTTTTGGAGATAGGAAACTGTGTAGGCTTTATATTTCTTCCAAATTAGGACTCTTCCAAATTATGACTCTCCCAGCGTCTAAATAGGATTTAAACTTGATTGGTACATCAGAAAAGGATCTCATGCGGGTCCATCCAAGCGGTATGGGGTGGAACTGACAATCTCGGCCCAATGCAAAATTTGGTCTTCAGCACGGGCATGCTATCTGGTATGGCTTGAGTACAGTCTTTTCTGCATTTTTGGCTGATTTTTTATAAAAATTCTGCAAAATTTCTCAAGTTCAAGTGACATATAATTCAAGGAAGTTTTGAACAAAAACATAAATAAAACTAAATAAAAAATCCTAATAAAAACTATATTAAAAATACTAGAAAAATAACACCTATCAATTATACTTAAGTTAGATATCTCACAAAAATAAGCATTATTCATTATGATGTAATTTTATTTTTAGAGAGTCATTACTTGTTGTCAACATTATATAAATAAATAAAAGTATTTTATTTTTAAGATGAATATATTATTTTTTTTGTTTTAATATTTATATAAATAAATCTAAAATTATCGTGAGTTAACTTTACCATCAGAAAGAGTATGGGTCCTATAAAAATAATATTTTATTCATTAAATTATATATAATTTGCACACCAAGACATAGTCTAATGGTAAGTGTGTATACGACCAGATAACTGATTAGGGTCGAATCCCCCTCCCCGAATACTTGGATACTAGGACAAGAAAATTAGATTTAGTGTATAATTAAAACTACCTGCAAAGTTTAAAATTTTTTTAATGATTTAGCCTAGGATTAATTAAGTAATCAACAATGTGTTGGTTGAGGAGGTTAGCGATCTCAATCTTCGTAAAGGTAAGGACATAAATTCAATTTCTAAAAAGCGCACTTTATTAAAAGAACCAAGACCCTTTACGTTCTACGGCTCGAGGGGATCAAACCTCATGGTCGTGTGTATATATCTCATGGTGCGTGTGTATAATATAGTATATACTATATATATATCTATATATATGTATATATATAATATATATTTTGATAAGTAGTTTTCATATTATAGGCAACAGTCATATTTTGGAAATTTGTCCTGATACTTACATTTCTCCCTTATTGAAAATATGTTTATTTATTTTCACCAATATATATATATATATAATAGTTTATTATTTCGAACGTAATTTGTTAATCTAATACTTGTTTTTTTCTCTCTTATAATTTCCCCTATTATAATAGGTAATTTAGTTTAGCTTTTTAAAAATAAATGGAAAAAAGAAAGAAGGCAATTAGAAGGTCATGTCACTCAAGTCTTTTCTTCTCCCGGTCGTCTAACTCTAATTTTAGTTTAGGGCAATTGTTATCTATCTTTTTTTTTTTTCCGCTTTTACAGTCCTTTTGGAAAAAATGAATCATGATTGTAGAATTCATTTGTAAATAAATTTCAAGTAAAATTCATTTGCAAATGAATTTGTCATGTTTTGTATGTTATAATTTAAAATAAGGAATTCAATTGAATTCCACTAAATTATATGTGGAATAAATTCTTAAATGAAAATTCATTTGTATTTATTTTTTATAACACCCTTGACATAATAATTTAATAAAAATAAATAACAAACACCAATTATATTTATTGTGCACAATATAATGGCTTGTCGTTTTTTATTAAAATATAAATAATAAATTTCATTAAAATTTCATCATAAATAGTACGAACGTAGATATTCCAATGCTGATTAATTAATATAGAAGAAGTAAAATTCATATCAATAATATTTTTAAATTGATTTGTAAAAAATTTTAATTGATTAAGTAATTAATTTGGGACCACTAAATAAAAAATCTTAAGAATGTTACTATTGTTTTTAATCTGCATTTGAAAACAATTGTTGATTGAGTTTTTTATAGCTTCATAGTAAATAATAAGTAATGTTATTACCTAGACTTAAAAAAAAAAAAAAAAGTCATTACTGGTTTGGAATTTTCCAAAAAAAAAAAAACAAAAAGGGAAAAAATAACAATATAAACTATCATTATTGAATAAAAAAAATAACACTGTTATAGTTTGGAATTTTCCAAAGAAAAAATAAAAAGGAAAAAAGTTAAAAATATAAACTAACGTTATTATTGGATTAAAAAAATAATATTGTTATAGTATGGAAATTTTCCAAAGAAAATAAATAAAAAGGAAAAAAAAGTAAAAATAGTTGAGTTTATAATGGAGGCTAATTTTATCAATAAACATTTCAATGCTTTCAATGGTCACTTTCAATGATCAATTTTGTAGAATTCATTTACAAATTTCATTAATTTTAGTAAAGTTTGATTTAGGCATACCCAATTCCATAGAATTCAATTCATAGAATTTAA